TCAAATGATTCTGCTCTACGTCCAAATATTACCACTCAAAAGAAATTCAAGCAAATTAAGCGGTTGCAACAATCTCTTGTTTTCTTGAAATTTTAAATATTATTTATTTATTTTTGTTTACTGGATGCAATGTTTTACAAATTTCCTCAATACACATGAAAATTGCTAACTGAAAAACGTGATTTCAACATTGGTGAAAGCACAACCCTTCTGTTAAAAGAGAGAATACGAAGAAGAACTGATGAATCAATTAAGAGTAGCTGTCAGGTTGGTTGGTTATTGGTGTTGATGCTCCTATAGACTTTGAGAAGCTTTATATATATATATCTTTATATATATATATATATATATAGATATAGATGTAGATATATATATCATCATCAACAACAAACAACAAATAATACCCATTGCCTTCCAACTCAAACTAGACTAGGATCAGACAAAAGCTTCCACAGAGAAAGAAAAACTGCTTTTTTGAAATTTTATCACAAAAGCATAAGTACACAGGAATCTCTCTCTCTCTCTCTGTCTCTCTCTCTCTCCTTCCACCTATTCCACACCCACTATTCCATCATTGTTTCACAACTGGAATGATTAGTCATTTACTATCACAACTCAAAAGAATCTCATGTCAAAATATTGCATAAGATTTTGGTGGGAATTGCCCTCCACCAGTATTAAAGTTGAAATATTGCATAAGATTTTTCTTTCTTTTATTTTTATTTATTTCTATTTTTTAAAATATATTTCTTCTATTTTTTTTAAATAAAATTTATATTTCTTTCTTTCTTAATGATTAGTCATTTCCTGTTCCTTTTTCCAATGTTTTCCCACCTCCTTTTTCTTGGTATAGTAGCACTTGTTTCATGTTTGTTTTCATTTTTTTTAAAATAATGTTTGATAACCGAATTTAACACTTAATTCTGAATTATTAATAAAGTAAGTTTGACAAACCAATTCAAATATCAATTAAAAAATAAATGTCACTTGGTAAAATTTTAAGTGACAATTACTTCACTTATTATTGAAAATACTTCAATTTTTTTTTTAAAAATATTTGAAAAAATTTCAATTTAAAATTACAAAATAAAACTTGTTCTTATATATGGTCGACTATGATGGCGTCGGGTCTCTGAAAGTTGTCTACAATCCACCATCGACTACATTTAGTCCCCTCATCCCACATCACCAAGTAATTACAGGAAAATTATGTGAGAATAGTCCAAAGAAGATTTAAATCCTCAACCTCCAGAATTTTAGATGAGAGCTTTGCCATTAGGTTATACTCTTAGGCTATGTTTGGAATAGCGGAAAAGAAAAGAAAAGAAAAGATAATAGTTAGGAGAGAAAAGAAAAGAAATGAAATGATATTGTTAATAATTTATCATATTTGGTTGGTTAATAAAAAAAAAATAGAAAACCATAGTAATCATGTTTAAGAAAGATAAGAAATAAAACTATTTTAATAAAACTTAAAAAATGCGAGGATTACCTTTCATGATAGCAAATTTATATCATTTGATTTCCTCCCATCCTTTCTTTTCCTTTAATAATTTATACCAAACATAATATTTTATTTTCCTCCCGTTGCCTTTATTTTCTTTCCTTCCATTATCCCCCAACCCAACCGGACCAAAGATTTACTTCATTTTTAGTTTTATCAAATAAACCACCTTAGTCTCCGGAGACTTGGATGAGTTGGTAAGATGAAGACATTGACTTGCATCGGCCAGTGTTTAAGTCTTCCTACCTTTTTTATTAATCTCGACTTAAAATGTTACTTGTATTGTGAAGTCGGGATGAGTAACTGAAAATTTACCCAGTAATTACAAGTTTAAAGATCGGATAGTTACTAGGTTCCTAACTCGTTGTCATAAGAAAAAAAAAAAAAAATTCACCCTAGAGTCCTCTTATTTCCAAAAGTTTGATAATTATTAGTCATTTACAAAGTCAACCATCTCTGCACCGCGGGCGGCTAAAGCGGTAAAGCCCTGGGCAGTTTAGGCAATTGTTTAGGGTCCCACCTAAGAAAGGCCCAATCATATTTCATAATAATTTCATGTCTGGATTTTATGTGATGTACTAATATTCTTTAATTTCTTGATGTGGTCCCATAAAAGTTTCGAATTAAAAAAATTAATTTTTCCAATTCTGAAAATTTCAAACTCCTGTATCATGGAGTATCTCTTTTCTAATAAATTTCCTTATTATTATTCTAGAATTCTTAAAACATATTATTGCTTTTCTTCTTCTAATTTTCTTCCTTACTAGTGTGATTATTGTCAAAACCTAGTTTTTAATTCCTCAAATCATAAGTTGTGTAAAAGTTTGTTTTTGAAAATTTCTCAAAACAATGAAAGACAAACTCAGAAAAAACCAAGAATGGAAAATATTAGGCCAAAAAGCAATGCTATGACTTAAGAAATTTCCTTGCAAATATATATATATATATATTTTGTACTGGCAAATTAGAAGAGAGAGACTCGAACACGAACACACCCGCTCGAGGAGTTGGACGCTCTACTAACTAAGTATTACAAGTGTGACTTGACCACATCAATTGTAATGGGTGTATATAGATTATGTATTAACTTTACCTAATAGTTTAAATTTTTAAGTTGGATCGCGAAACATCCGACCTGTTATAATTGAGATCAGAGTCAAACTCAATTCTTGATCTGTTATCACGCCAAACGCCAGATTTAAAGGAGTCTAGGTGTGCCTCCCCGAATAGGTAAGGTGGCCTGACCGTAACGAGCTCGGGTGTAACAGAATGTTACAAGTCGGTTTGAAAAAGTCCAAGTGTACCTTTCTGAATAGATAAGGTGACCCAACTGTAATGAATTCGAATGAGGGCATAATGGTACAAGTAAAACTTATTTCACATTAAATTAGAATGAAAATTATAATAGGTATACATGAACATAGTGTTAGTCCAATAATTTATTTGTTTTGACCTACCCCAGTATATGTTTTTCCCAACAATCCCTGCCTAAAGTTAGTTTAAGGTGAGGGAGACAACTAAAGTTGAGTGGGTTGAAAGTTGGCCATTAGGTGTGCCCCACAAAAAATCAAAAGCTGTCCTTCATTTTTCCTACTCACTGGTAAATCTGTCACTATCTCATATAGTTTTTGAGATTGTCATGTAGGCAGGAGGCATCATTCTCTATTTTGGTATGATTATATTCTTTTTACTTGACAGGAGAAGCATCTGTCAATCTGTGTTGTTTCTGTAGGAAATCAAAACCCTTCCTTGGAGGTTTCTTGTATCTAATAATATTCTCTCTTCTATCTTAACCTTGTATGGTAACACTACTTTTCTACAAAGATTAAGTTACATTTAGTTATTCCCTTAACACTCGTCATTTTTGCATTCTTGAAGCCTTAGAAAACTTCAATTTTTATTTTCTAGGCCATCTTTATGAATTGAATCCTAGAAGTACTTCTTGTGAAATTTAACACAAAAAGAAAACACACATATTTACTCGATTTATTCAAAATTAGGGTTATGGTCACGTAGTTGTCGAGATTTCACTACGGTGAAGAGTGAAACGAAGTACACAATTTAGAATAATTATCATCCAAAATTAGGGTTACAAACATGGAATTATTGAGATTTGACTACGGTGAAGAGTGAAACGAATTACACAGTTCAAAATAATTATCACCTAAAATTAGGGTTACGGCCATGAAGTTATCAAGATTTCACTACGGTGAAGAGTAAAATGAATTACACAATTCAGAATAATTATCTGCCAAAATTAGGGTTACGACCAAGGAGTTATTGAGATTTCACTATGGTGAAGAGTGAAACAAATTACACAGCTCAGAATAATTATCACCCAAAATTAGGGTCCGTTGCTGAGATTTCACTATGTTGAAGAGTGAAAAGAGTTGCGTAGTTCATAATAATTATCATCCAAAATTAGGGTTACGGCCACATAGTAGATGAGATTTCTCAGAATAATTAACCACGGCTACTACTATACTTCTATAGAATTAGGGCTTGGATCTGTGAAGGCCAGATGCACGATAGTATCAGCTCCGTGCTTCTCATCATTACTGTCACACCATTTTTCGTTTTGTCTCCATCATGTGTAAGATAAAAAAAATGGACACTCCTTTTTTTTTTTTTTTTTTTCCTTCACTGGATATTGAACTGTCCAAATTGCTGAAGTTTTATTGGAATTTTGCAGACTTGACAATAAGTTTCTTATGACTTAATTCGAAATGAAATACACCTCGTGTTCCAAAATAATCCTTCATTGTAGCTAAAATACCAACTTTTGATGCCATGGTTGAACTGTTTTTAGTCCAACTTAATCAAATTCACTGATTTTTAATGATTCTGCATCCAAATTGCAAGATGAGTGAATGACGAAATGGCCAAATAGCTGAATTTTGTTGTGTACTTTCTTTAAATTTAATTTGTTGTCTTGAGAAATTAGAATTCTCACAAGCCTTTCAATCTATTTTCTTTTGGGGCCAAAAAATAGAAGAATCCATCACTCCCTTGATTCTGTTGTCAAGTTTTGAATGTCCCTTGGCAACCCCATTCCACTTGATGCAGAGTTCTCTGTTCAAAAGTGTTCAATTATATATATATATATATATATATATATAAACACACACATACACACACAAACACACATATATGCAACACATTTGACATTCCAGTTATCTGCAGCTCTTGGTCATGTGGGTGAAACAAGAATATCATGTTTGCCATTACAAATGAGAAGAATATGTCCTTTGGCTAATTGGATGTGATGTTTTTTTTTTGCTTTCAATTGAAGCCAACTGTGTTCAAAATATTCCTCTTGTTTCTTCTATTCATATAGTAATCTTGCTTTTCTTTGAAAGAAAAGAATCACATTCTCTTTCCCTCAAATTCTTTTTTCCCTGAAATTTCAAGAGAGACTCTCCTCAGAGCTTCAACTCTATTTTAGCTCCAAAACTAATTGCCTTCAAGAGAAAAGACACAGAGACCGCATAAAGTGAAAAAAAAAAAAGAAAAAAGAAAAAAAGAAGAAAAAGAAATGGGCAAAAAACTAAAACTCTAACACTACCCCATGATCAAGTGATTTCTTACACACTTTTCTCTACCTACCCATGGCTGCACCATCTCTCTCTCTCTCTTTCTCTCTCTACCTATGAGTGCACATGTCCCAAAGCTTCTTCCTCCCTTCAACTATTTCATCAAAGAAGTCATCAAGCTGCCCAATTATGTTCTCAGCCCCACATTTCAAGACCCCAAAGCAAGTCTTCAAGTTCTCAACCTTGTCATGGATGTCCTTGTAATCTTCTGTTGTGCCATAGTCTGCAATCCTCTCTAGTTCTTCCTTCAGCTCTTCCATTGCGATTCGCGCTTCTTTGAACTCGAAAAGAAGAACCCCTGTCTGCCCATGATCAATCTGGTTCATCTCCCCTGCAACTCTTTGCTGCAATCTTGCTGCTGAGACCATAAAAGATGAGCCAAAAACCATGTGTCCTTCATAACCACCTTGGCAAAAGCTCTCCACAGGCCAACAGTACACTAGGCCACCAAGTAAGATCATTAGAAGCAAAGAGCTAACATTCCTCATTGCATATAGAACACCTCTAAAACCATTGAAACCATTGAACTTTGATTGGATTGAAACATTCTCATCAAACCTTAGAGACAGTGGTTGGATTCTTGTCTCCATTAAGCTCCTATTCTCCTCTTCCAACCCCACTATCTCCCTTTGGCAACCGGCGATCAATCGTATAATCTGTCAAAAATTTAACCAACTCAATCAATATATAAACTGAAGCTAGAAAATTAGATTCATTCAAGTAGTCGACGCCAAGCAGTTGAAGTACTAAGCCTTAGTTACGAGGTAATTTAATATAGATATATTTATGTAGTCGACACCAAGTAGTTGCAGTATAAACCTGACGTGAAAGCTGAGGGTTTATAATGCTGTGATTGTTGAGGGAGGAAGCTATGTTGGCTCCGGCAGAGTAAACGCTCTCCATACCGGCTACGCCTGCTTTCAGGACATGGCAGGCTTCCCAGAGCCTCGAGCTTTCGTCCATGTACTCGTCGAGCCACTTCTCTCCAACAGGCAAGTGAAGCTTTTGGACCAAAATGGTTAGCTGAGAGTGAAAGGATTGGAGTGATGAGAGAACCCTTTGGAGGAACTGAATGGACATGAAGTTATTGGAGGGAAAGGAGCAGTCAAGATCGTCGAGGCACCGGGTGAGGAAATTGTAGAAGCCATTGACAGAAGTGGTGGCTGAGGAATTAGAATGATTCATGATCATGGGAAGTGGGAAACTAAAAGATGGTGTGGTGTGAAAAAAGGTGATAGAGATTGATAGATATTTAAGAAGAAGAGGAAGAAGTAAAACAATTTAGTGAATATATATAGCTTGAGAGAGCTCAGGTTTCTATATGATGGAAAGAATTGATTGTTGGGTGCAATTATGTGTGTTTCCTTTAGAGTGGAAGGGATGATTGGGAATCTTCCATTAGCATTGTTTAATGGGCAGAATTGTATATGATGAAAAAAGGTTGAGAGAGAGAGAGAGAGAGAGAGGTACTTGAGTGAGAATTTCAAACAATACAAGACTAAGCACAAAGGAAAAAGTGTAAATGTAAAACAATGGGAATACATGGAGTCATGACCTTTATTTTGTGTTTGTTTAATCTGCAGACTTTCAATAGATGATGATAATTAGAGAGAAAATCTTCAATCTTTTTCAGCTCTATATTCTATGATGCTAGATTATGTTTCTTGGGCTGTAAAAGTTTGACTACTTTGACTGAGATTCTTCTTCTCTTTCTTCTATTTTGATTTGGTTGCCTTTGGAATTGAGTTCTCTTTGGCTTCTTTACCTTTTCTCTTCCTTCACCATTCTTCATATTTTTTAATTCAATCTTTTTGGTGTACCATTTCTATAAATATATGTAGTATATTTTGGTCTGCTAGATAAAGGAAACAAATGATGAGGTTCCTTGTGTTGGAGATTTTCTCTTTAGAGTGCAGATTCCTCTTGTTTCTTTCTTTCTTTATTTTTCTTTCTATTTATTTATTTAATTTATGTTTTTTGGGTATTAAAAGGAATACATTGATACTAGACAAGAATGGACCATGCCCCATAACAACAAGGTCACATTCACACCAGAAAGCGTACCAAAATCTTTTGATTAGAGGCATAACTTGATTTGCTTAAAAAGCTTGCAGTTGAAAGAAATCTCTTAAGGGTACTTTTCACAAATATGTGGTGGGTTTTGATCTTACCTAAAATGTTTTGTTGATTTGAGTCTTCAACCAAATGTACCAGGGAAATTTGAAATGGACATCAGAATGAGTGATTAGATTGGAAGTGGTGAGAATGCCCTCCCTTATAGCAATGTTTAGCAGTACTATAATTACTTAAAGTTACACTGTGACCCTACTAATTACATGGTATGAAGATGCTTCAAATTGAATTGAAGGGGATATTTTGATATTTAGACAATGCAAGCCATATACATATATTTAGATATACATATATTTAGTTAACAGGCTCGATCGACCTAAAATCGTAAATTAGCGGTTACTTATTTTGAAATTACACTGAAATAACGATTTGGTTCGATTCAGTTCGATTTTTTGTGTACCCTAATGCAAGCTTCCTATGTTGTTTTATTCATGCCATTTACCAAAGTTGTTCATTTTTTTTAATATAAAAAAAAGGTGTGTAATAGGCAGACTCGTTACATTCATGTATATAATACTGCAAAATAAGACCTATATTTCCCTCCCACACAATATAATTCTGAATGGGGCCTCAGTAAAAGGTCACTCACATACCTGAAGATTCTCTGAACCTAGCACATTGGACATCAAGTTCTGCATGGTTGCTAAGTCCACATTTTTGAAGCCCAAAAGATGGGGATTGGGCCCCACATGATCTTTGATAGGGAAAGAATCCTACAATATAAAAAAATTGTTTTCACACCCACAAAAAGGAGGAAATGCCAATTTACTCTTTCACATCAAGTTTTATTTCATGGAAGGATCATGGGTGGAGAGGGTTATTATCAAGGCCTAATAATATGTTGCCACCCTAGCAATCAATCAAATCCAGTCTGAGGGGACTGATTAGAAGCCAAAAACTTATTGAACCAAAGTGATATTTGATGGGAAACAGAAGGGGACAAGGTTTCCATTTAGCCAAAATTGGTGGATTGTGCTCTGCCACACAAATTGGTGGGTTGTACTAGTTTTATATATTCTCTTAAGGTATGGTCTACAGAGCAATCCACAAAGTTAAAAATGTTGGGGATCTCCAAGTGTGAAACTTTCATTCACTTAAACACCCATTTTACACATGTTAAGGACATTTTACCATAAGTCAATAAAGCTCTTTAAGTTCACCCTTTAAGATGGTGAGACAGGTATTGTTCATTATTCAAAATGTATCTATACATATACAAGAATAATCCAATCAAGCTTTCATCAAACTGAAGATTTACATTTTGCAACAAGTCACCTGTTAAATTTATCTGTTTTGTGGCTCAAATTCTTGAAAATTGTTGTTCAGGAGAAGTCGGACATGTACCATTATTACAGAGGCGTCCGAATTTCAGCCATGATGTTCTAGAGTGCGACGGGTGGCACTATTACGAACAGGTCGCACTTTGCTGATATGTGCCGGAAGTAGTTTACTTTTATGTTTTGCACTCTCCAAAGGCCTAGGTTTGTGGAGGATGTTGTTTTTCATTGGGTTACTTCTATTTAAAAGTTTTGATTGATTTGGTAATTTCTTGTTAGACAAGATATGGAAGACTCCATAAATAGAGGTAGATTTGGCTGGAGAAGGTAGGGAGAAGAAGACGGGTTGAAAGGAAAAGTGCCTTGAGGAGATGAGATAGTATTTGTAATCCTCAAAAGATGATGAGTGAGTGAGATTGGACATCTATACTCGTGTATTCATAATATGAAAGTTCTCACAGCTAACTCTAGAGGTTAGGTGAACCACGTTAAATATTGTGTTGTGTTTGATTGATATATGACCATATCTCCATACTATGTGTGATTGATGTGTGACGATATGTGTGAGTATGTGTAGCGAAAAATTTAGAAAGTTTTGTATTTTTAGATACATATCTGTATCTTTCTTACTTTACTTATTTTAACAATTAATTAAATAATTATATGCAAGATAAAATAAAGCAAAATAATAAAGTTAGAGATTTGTAACGATCCAAACTCGAGGGTCCGAATCGCTAACTGGGTCCTTACCTGAACCCGATGTCGTTTAAGGGCATTATGGTCAATTCCAAAGTCGATACACAATATACGTGACATTCCAAGACTTATACAAAAAATGAAATCATACCTATAAAATATGTCAAAAAGTCCACTGACCCATCTAAACTTACGGAGTAGCGTCGTCCGCCACTTTCTTTCTGTGACCTGAAAATGATAATATAAGGGGTAACAACTCAGTAAGAGGTGCCTAAGACATACCTTTTAATGACCCCGTGAATCCACACAAAACATAGAGTAAAGATATACGGGAATACACAATAACAACCAAACAGGTCATCCAACCATATGAATACAATGCATGCTAATGTAATGCAATGACATGCCAATGTCGCTCCCCATTTTCAAAACATTTCCGTATCACCATTCCAAACCGTTAATGCAATCCAACCCACAACAGCTCTATGGCGCTATGAGAGAAGGATTGGCTAGCTATCCCCGACCACATGACATCTCCAAGGCATTTTTTGGGGCATAGGTAGCTCAACCACGCTAGGGTCTCTCCTTAATTCTCTCTAGATCACATTAACGCCACGAACCACTAGGTAGTTCCTAGGCGCCCGGGTTTTCGCAAACCACTTTTCAAAAACATTTTCCCGAAAATAATTTTCATTTACTTTTAAAATAACTTTTCCCCTTTTTCTCCCAATGAAATGCATGAATGCCTTAAGCCATATACATAACGGTTTGTAAATAAATAAAATGAAATTAATTGAAATTTATCACAACAATATAACATGCCTTTATAAAAATTTTAGAAATAGACGTATCATGCTTTCATATAACAAATCTAACACCTTCAACATAGTGGTTATATTTCATGCCTTGACAAAATAAAGCTTCAGCATTTATACACATACAATGCAAACAAAAAAATTCAGTTTTGCATACTTCATCACTACATTTCAAGTAACATGCATTTTCAGCCACATAATCACATAAAACACATTTTTACATAAAACCCTCAAACCATAAACAAAGTTATCAATTTAAGCATGGTTAAACTGAAATTAAAGAGGGGAAATTTACAAAAAATCAAAGAAGATATGGATTAGAACACCCCTACCTCAAATAGAAGAGTAATTCATGTAAACCCCAAAATTTTGAAAATCAAAAAATGGGCCAAATGGGGCGATCAATATGAAGCCCTCGTTATGCTAGTCGACTTTGCCTTCAGTGGCAAAATCAAATTCTCAATGGTGAAGCCTAGATCTTAGCTTATAAGTGTGGCAAAAGAAAAAAAGAAAAAAAGAAAAATGAGAGAGGGAGAGAACTAATGAATAGAGAGGATAAATGAAGCTTCAGTAATGACACTAAGGTTATTTGCAATCACATAATATAATGACGGGCCCCACAACTTTTTTTTTTAAAAATATCATCCTTTTGACATTTTAATATATATATATATTCATATATACTAAACATAAAACAACCACTTAAATAAACACGAATTCATGTAATTGTACACCAAATAACAATGCATGAAATGCAACAAACCCGAAAAATAATCCCCGTGTGTCACAACTCCAGTTACGGATCCTACTTGGGACCTTCTGGCTCGAAAAATAAAAAAAATGCCAAAATGGCAACTAATGCATTTCTAAGAGTCCTGAACTCAAAGAAATGCTCCAACTAACCTTGAAAACTCACCCGGTACACTCCACGGTATCCCGTACACAAAACGAGACATGGATTAATATAATCCAGAAAATTAAAAAATCCCCAAAAATGGAAAATAGAAAAGTGAGTAACATTACAATCTACCCTTCTTAAAGAGATTTCGTTCTCAAAATCTACCCTTCTTAAAGAAAAAGACTCATGGCCACACGCCTTTCCGAGAAACACCCTACAAAACTGCAAAACTTAGAGCTCACTAACCTTATTATCTTTGACACCAGACGTCAACAGGCAATCACATACCATTACCACTAAAACACAATGCTTACCACCTTATGAGGTTACTTATCACTCACTACATTATAGCACAAAACCAACTGGATTCTATGCCCAACTCAAAACCGACACTGGTCCACTCTATACCGCTACGCAAGGCTCCAAAGCATGAAAGAAGAACTGTCACCAAACCACCGAACATGACGACATCCAATCACAACTCATCCTTTAAAGGATACTCTAGACCCCATACAAGGAATCTCGTCTATCTCATAACCAAGCTCAAACTCATATCCATAGATCTCTGTCAGATCAAGCACTCGTTATCTAACACATAGTTACACCATCACATATCTGCACCAGTAACTACCAACCGCACTATTGGCAATCATTATACTTAACAA